AAAGAGGGAAAACCTATTTTTGCATCATAAACACGATGCGGGGAGAGACCTAGGTAAGGGGTTGGTTAAGCTTAGGGAAGGTACTAGCACCCTAAACTTCTGTAGTACTCTACAGGAACCTTTTGTTTATTGTATGCCTTTTATTTTTATTTATTATCTGTTTTAATATATATTGAGCTAAGGGATAGAGTGACCTAAAAGACCTAAGGGTTATTCCTAATTTTACTCGGCAAGACGTCGCATCTTATGCCTACATATCTTGACGGGAATGGAATCAGAGTAATTGTAGTTCCCCTCGAAAGGGAGGTTAGAAACTTCTTGACTGTCGTCAAGGTTTCAATGGGGAATAAACATATCTTAAGGACATGCTTACGTGGAGTCTCGAAACTCCTATTTCTATGTTGAATTTGTTAATTGAAAATTTAGGGTTGAAATTAGGGATTCCACGGCGGGAAACCCTAAACAGAGTACGGCGACTCTTTGACCTAATGCTAGGGTAAAAGGCATTTTCGTCCACGGCGGGACACCTAGGCTATTAGGGTTTTTGAAACGGTCAAAAATTAAGGTTATTGACTCGGCGGTCAAACGACTAGACCTAATTCCTTCGGAGGGATTCTAACGGTAAAAACATGCAAAATACGACAAATTACTATTTGGCAGAATTAAAGTGCGGAAAAATAAAGAAAGCGGTAAAAAAAGTATCGCGACGATCACTCGCGTAAATTACAAATTCCCAAAAAGTACAAAATAAAATAACCGCGACTATGGCCTCGCGTAAATTACATCCATGGAACAAAAACGAACAAATGAAATAATAACGAGTTGAAACAAACAAATTAACGAGGGTTAGACAAAAATGAAACGGCTAAATCAAAACTTATTTCTTTTTGAGTTTTTATTGAGAAGAGGAGAGGAAAATTAATTTCATGCTTAAATGGAGAAACTATTCTAATTATTTACTAAAAATTTTAATAAAGAAACTGGTTTTAATTTTAATGAAAAAATGTTGAAAAAAACATTTTAATTTTATCGAAAATAAATGTTTTAAATTTTAATTAAAAAATGTTTTAAATTTTAATGAAAAAATTTGATTTAAATTCAACGAAAAAGGTTTTAATTTTTGTTTTAGTGAAAGAAAGGTCATTTTTTAATTTTTGTGTTAACTTAATGAAAAATGGTTTTAATTGGAAAAAAACTTTAATTAAGAAAAACTGTTTTATTTATAAATATGTTTTTAAATAAAAAATGGTTTAATTTTTGAAAAAACTTTTTAGAAAGATCTTAATTTTTAAAAAACTGATTACGTTATGTTTTTTTTTTGTTGAAATAGCTTACCTAAACTTAATGACATTATTAATTACAAACTGCATAGTTAATATAAATGAAAAAATAAACAATTGAATAATAAAATAAAAAAATGAAACGTAAATAAAAAGGCTTCTGCCGTTTTCTCCATGGATGACTATCGAAGTTTTTCCTCTCCTTCAATCCTTGCATGTCATCTTCTATTTATTCTTCCCATTAATCTACAATCAATGAACAAAACAACACACAAAAATCATAAAATACCGTAAATCAAAGGAAAGAGAAAGCTTACGATAACGACGATGATGTTGAACGAACTGAGCCTCCGCCGTTGGGACTTTTTGAACGAACTAAGTCAAAGCTAAAAAAAACAAACTAAAACAAATAGAAAAGTTAGAATAAAAAAAACAAAACAAAAAATGAAGAAGGTGGGATTTGAACTCTCAACCTCTCATACTCACAACTCCTTACACAGGGTCTCCTGCCAATTGTGCTATTTTATTCATTCAAAATAAAGTTGCACTAGAAACCCTGTAAACTAAAAGAGCGCGCCACATGATATTTTCTTGCAACAATCAAACAACTGCACAACCCGTTAGTGGTTAGTTTAAACGCAATGCAAAATGAAATGGGATGCAAGATGAAACGACTAATCTTAGGGCAAAATTTGGGGTATTACAATAGGCACGAGATGCGATGTCTTGACGAGCATACTTAGTGTATATACCCTTAGGTCTTTACCTTAGCATAGTTCCCTTAGCAAGCAAACTTTAGCATAACACAGATACTAACAAGAGGTTCTTGTAGAGTACTATAGATACTTAAGATGCTAACATCTTCCCTAGATATAACCAACCCACGAACCTTAGATCTCTTAGCTGTGTTGTTACATGGCGCACTTAGGGTTTTCTCCGATCTTTACCTTTTTCTTTGGATAAATCAAAGCTTATGTGATTCAAGTTAAATTCAATAGCTTGATATCTGATTTCTACCGCAACACCAAGAAACTCATAATTTCCGTCACTGCTTTCAGAGGTTCCCATTGAAGTACAACATTCAATTTGGACGGATCCACTGCTATTCCATCACCAGAAATGATATGTCCCACGAAACTCACTACTTGCAGCCAAAACTCACGTTTTGAAAGTTTCACAAACAACTTGTTATCTTTCAACACTTGCAACGCAGTCCTCAGGTGTTCTGCATGATCCTCTTCTGACTTGGAGTAAACCAGAATGTCGTCAATAAATACTACAATAAATTGATCTAGGTAGGTATGAAAAATACGATTCATGTGCTCCATGAATATGCCCAGTGCATTGGACACTCCGAACGACATCACAACATATTCGTAATGCCCATACCGAGTCCTAAAATCCGTCTTCTGAATATCACCTCCTTTCACTCGAATCTGATGATAACCTGATCTCAAATCAATCTCACTGAAAACACGAGCTCCCACAAGTTGATCAATTAGATCATCAATTCTTGGAAGTGGATATTTGTTCTTGATGGTCACCTTATTCAGATGACGATAATCAATGCACAATCACATGCTACCGCCCTTCATCCATTTTTGCGCACCATCCGGGTCATACATACCCTCGAACGTAGGCGACTTGTTATTATGGAACTTTTCCAAATTACGAAACTCGACGTCCCCAACATTCTAATTGTTATTCTGCACAGCCTGTAAAGCAGCAATAATCGCAACATCATTTCTTCTAACCATACTGTTCAACATCAATAATACAAGTTAGAAGAATTATATGACTATATTCACTCTATAGTTAGACTCTACTACTACACTTGGTCGGATGGACCAACCCGCTCTGATACCAATTGTAACACCCTACTCTCCCTATTCATTTAATTATAAAAATAGTTTGTGGAATAATCAGGAAAACACAAGTAGGATGCCACATCCCTTAAAACTCATAAAGTATCAAGTCACTTCATATCTTTATTCATCATAAAAATAAATTAAACAGTAGAATATTCAAATTGTTCACTTCAACAACACTAAGGCTTTAACAACATTAACCTCTACAAAATTTGTGGTTCAACATAATTTGGAAAACAAGACACGCAACAAATGAAAAACAATGCAAATTAAAACAAATTCACATCCTTCCCGTGTTACGTATCAGAGCAACTCTACTTCATTAATCTACCATTCTATTAAGGTTTTTCACAATTTAAGCCATAATTTCGTCATCTCCCAAAATCCATATTTCTCATATCTATTTTCATGGTAGAACACAACAACAATTCACAATTTTCACGAATTTCACACCATTAACAATATACAAAACACTAGTTCAACAATGAATTACACAGATACGAAATCAATCAAACAAAAAGAATATACATGAAATCCTAAGAGGGAAAGAAACCCCTCCACCCTCTCGTGTTCTAATCACCATTATAAAACCCATTCTTCCCACTTACCTTAATTTCAAGCTTGGTCTCTCTAACAATGGTGGAGATGGAGAATTCTTTGTCTCTTCTTGCCCTAGCTCTTCCGTCTTCTCTCCTTTCTTTTTTTACTGTGAAACTGTTTTTTTTTTCAAAAATCTCTTTACCACTTCTCCCTAATTATGTTTATTTTCCTTAATTTTAATAATAATAATATTAACACTAATATTACTAGTGGTAAATACCTCATATAACTATTAATAATATTTATAATAATAATAATAATGAAATATTTCATCCATCACTAATTATATTATTTATTATAATATTATTCTAAGATTTTATTCCAATTAACCAATTACAACTAAGTTCTCATACTCACTCTTATACCTATACTCTTAACTATGCTAACACCGATATAATTGTACAAATAAAATCACAAAATGACTAAATATTTAAATGAGGTGTTATACTTCTCTCCTGACAATTCAATCACTCTTTGTTCGCTGTCGTTCTCTTGTCAATATTTAGCCTTGGAGGGAATTTATCGTCTAATTTAGGTTGCATTTCCTAACAACCCAACTCGCTGATAGTGCCTCGTGGTGCGACAGAGTGCCTCGAGCACAATAAGGCTCTCACCCTCTTTGGCACTCCTTTCTAAGGGTTTGGGCCTGGTCCGCCGCTGAGGACGCTGCTCCATACTACAATTCGAACGTCGAGGATGACCGGTTCTCATGTTGGGCTTATTCCAAATTGCTCGCCGTTATTAAAAGAATCCTGGTTAGTTTCTTTTCATATTGGAGGCCGGTATGATCAATTTGACGTCCTCGTAAGTGTTAATTTTGTTTTCGTATGTAAACATATTTTCAATTAAATATTATTTTGTTTATTTATATAATCTATTTATTGTTTAAAAAAATACAATACACATTGATGTTAGATAAATTAACACCATCATTAAAATTTTGTACAATAATATCAATTTGATTGACAACATCATATATTAACGTCAATATTAATTAACGTCAATTTAATTAACGTCAATATTAAAAAAATTAATGAAATCGTCGATTAGGTCTAGCCAGTGTAGGCCACCATTGCATCTTAATTTTTTTTTAAAAGGGTGGTAAATTGAATTTTCTTTTAAAATCTTATTTTGAGAATAAAATTGAAAATGTAGGTTAGTTGAGTAAAAAATTCAAGAAATTGAGTCGATAGTCATATGTTGAAATTGATTTGAAAACAGGAGAGCAGAGTGAAAGCAGAGAAGAATTCTGATGGCGGAGGATAGCAACCACAGCGTGAGACTGCTATGCCGCCCAAAGCAACTCAACAAAGGATCCGACCCGGGTATCCATTACTGGTTAATCGGATCCCCATTCTTACCGCCCCTCACCATCGTCTCCATACTCCGATGCATCACCACCATCCCCTCCTCCTCTTCCCCCGATTTACGTAAAGAATCCGACGATCTTCTGACCTTAATTCCGAAAGGATTTCAACTTACTGGAGCCCTAGCTTCCGGAGACGAGACCGATGCTCGTGCCGCAATTGACGCTGCTCGTCAAATAAGAAAGTTTCTTTATGGCGGAGGAACTGTGGAAGAACCACCGCTTATCGGAGCTGTTTCCGATTTGGATTCCGGAGATCTCCGATTTTTTGTGTCGGTGAGTGGAAATGCAAATAGTGGAATTGAGCCTGTTACATCGATCATACAGGAACAACATCCGGAGAAATTTTTGTGGGAGAATGGTTGCATGCTTCGTTGTGAGCTTCCGATTAAGTTGCCAATCTATTACCCTCTCAAAAATCCAACTGGTAAGTGCTTACAGAAACAACTTAATTAATTTCATAACCACTTATCATGCAACTGTTTATATATAAGGGCTTGTATTTCAGCCATTTTTCTATAATAAATGATAAAATAAAGTCAAATTGTTTTTATATAATATATAAGATGTTTTCATTAGAAATGACAGAATTAGAGAATGTCGTGGTATTACTTATAGTAAAAATGATGTTGTGGTAAGGAGAGGAGATAAGTCAAATAACTAGAGCTAGAGGAGGACCTAGAAAAACTATAAGAGAAACTATTAAGAAAGATCTCGAGATTAACGAATTGGATATAAGCATGGTCTTAGAAACAACATTATGGAGAAAGTTTAACCATGCAACCGACCCCACATGTGGAATAAGGCTTGGTTGTTGTTGTTGTTGTATAAGCTGTTTTCATTAGCTATCATCAAGAACATATGGAAATAAACTGAAATTAGCAAATACATAAGGCAATCCATACAACCCACAAGTTGAATAAGGCTTGGTTGTTGTTGTTGTATAAGCTGTCATGATATGTTTTCATAAGCTATTCCAAGCAGTCTCACTAATACATTTGACAATCCATACAATCCATAAGTTCAAGTTCCCAATTAGGTCACATCCAAACAGGCCCTAAGTTCAAGTTTCCTCTAGTATCTCTTATTAATTGATTGAATAGTACCTTCGCTGGTAGCAGTTATTGACCACATGCCTCTTGTAGTGAGTTGCAATGAAAACTCTAGCTGAAAGCACTTTGAGTTCAAGATGATATACACATACTATATATACACACACAAAAAAGTGCAGGTCACAAAGGACAGCGAACCTTAAACTTAAGGAAGATTATTACAAGCAGTCACAAAAACACACTGTCATTTCGAAATCGTTTGATGAAGATCGAGTGGTTCACATTTTGAGTTAGTATTATTTTTTTGGAAAAGCATCTTGAGTTATTATTTTAAATCTGATATGAGAAGTTGTGTTATCTTTGTCCAATGGTTCCTGCTTGTTGACTATGTAGTGTAATCTGACTCCATAAGTCAAGATCCACAATACTAATTTTGAACTTGACATGTAGTTTTGCAGTAAATTAGATGAAATTCTTGTATTTGATTTCAATGTTAAATAAGTTGGGTACATCTTAGTGTTCAGCTGTACAAAATAATGTCTGGATGTCAGTGAATCATCTAAGATGCATGTTTTACTATGTTCTACATGCAGTAAACTCTGGACAAATTTTGTTCCGCAGATGTTGAGAAAGCATATATAAAGGCAACTGGAGCTGTTATTGCCAAGTTAAGAGACCCTCAGGCTGTGTACATGTTAGAAGCATTGTGCAAAACCTGTCCAGATCAACCTCCACCTGCCATAGTTCGAGGTGTACAATTAGATTTTCACACAGACCTCTCCAAAACCATGCCTTTGGCTAGGAGTGATGAGGGCTCTGATGCAAGCTCACTATCTTGTTCATACTTTTCCGTCAACAATAGAGCAGCTTTTTCCATAGAGGTAAAATAAAAGATTATGATATTCTTTTTATCTTTCTCCCATTTTCTTTTTAGCTATTTTAGTTTTGCTATACTATCTTATATTATTTGTGATTTTGCTTATACGTTGATCTTATTTTTTGTGCTGCATCCTTTACAAATAGTTAAATGACTGCTATCATCCATTTTTGTGAAATTTTCTTTTGCTTAGAATGCAGATATTATCCAAGTGAGTGTTCTATTTAATAGCTTAGGACCGTCATCAGCATCTGCTGCACCTATTGCAGAATATCTTCCAGGTCAGGATTTGGTTCATATTTGGTGTTGAATTACTTCAATTCTGGTGTTTTTCACATTATTAACTCAACTGAAATTGAGTTATTGCTTTCAGTCCTGGAAGAAGCCAGACTCGTTGTTGTGGATATTAAGCTAGATGTGTTGTGCTATTCTTCTAGGGATCTTCCACTCAGACATGCAGTTTCACGTTTAATCATCCCTGGCTTAATTGACCAGTTAAATATCATGCAGAACTTTATGTTGCCTAGCCTATTGGTACAACATCCTCAGGTGAGGCAATGAATTCATCTTTCTAATTATATAAGATTTCCATGGTTCTACTATGCCACCATGATTCCAAATCACAAGAAGATAATTTTTCTTTAGTTAGTTGATGTTTTGTTATTTATTGCCATTCCTTTATCCTATCATTGCTAAATTTCAGATGGGTTTTTGGTATTTGTCTTGCAAATTCACAATTCCATATTTGTACATTATTTCTCCATGCAAAATAGTTCTCAGATGAAGTGACACTGTCTATTTGATACGAGCTGTAATGCATCTAAATTTTCAATTTCAAATATATTTCAGTTGGAGATTTGTCTTATAATTGTAGAATAGTTCAGATTAATTGCTTTTAAAGAAGCAGGCCTATTTCTTCCTTCTTTGATGGGTAATATGAATTATGAGTTATGAATGTGCAATTACAAAGATATATGCATGTTGTGAGATGCTAATGCTTTAACTTTAATCTGAACCTATTTTGCTACATATTATCTCGGTAAAATTAAGATATGGAGGAAACTATTATCCTTTCTTTCACTAAACACCCTGATGATTATTATTTGGGATCTATCAGGTGAAATTTATAAAGTGATTTTATTTGCATGAATAGTACATAGTAATTTCTGTTTTTTTTGTTTTAAATCTTTTATGTTTCATTGTAAAATTTTATTTTGACACGTATTCAATACTTTTTGTTCATTTGGTTGACTAACAATTTATTCAAATGTCAGCTAAAACCTTATCACTTTAGTCCTCCTGGGATTCTGCATCCAATAACTGTTTTCTATGAACTGAGTTTTGGGGAGACAGAAATGAAGCAAGGTATGCTGTTGAACTTTTGCATTGTCCATGGGTAGGATTCTTCTTTTACCATACTGCGTACTGCTGCTAAATTTCAGAAAGAAATGTATCTATTGAATCTATAGGGCTGTCCACTCTACTTTATCATTTATGATCTCAGCATATGTCAGTGATTTATAAATACTTAATTCTTTTTGCAGTTGAATTTAGGAAATCCTTGCACTTCAAGTTGGGGCTACCTTATGATCGTCCCCTTCTAAGAATTGCCAATGCCTTGGATTTTTCAAAATTGAAAAATGGTGGTTCTGCCTCTCTACAGAAAGGTATTATGCAGATCTCTATAGAAAGTTCATGTTATAGTAAGTTGTGTAGATGCTAAAAATCATGATTGCATCTACCTCTTTCCATTTTGTATTTTCGAATACTAACTCCTTGAGAATGTTCAAATTATTCTAATATTTGGTGGTAATATTAGGTTCAGCTTTGCTCAGAGATGTACACATTGGGATTCCAAGCAGTGGGGGTTAGTTGCCATTATGGTCTTTTCTCATTCTTAATATAATTCTTCTTTGTCGCACTGTCTCATTTAAAGTGTCATGGTTTATGCAGTTACTGGGGGAACTCTTTCCCTTGTTCAAGGTTCCTATGAATACCATCATTATCTTCAGGATGGTTTCAATGATTCGGTAATTGCAATTCTTCTACTTCGAAATAGCTGTGACATGTTCTTGAAAGTTGAAACTTTATTTTTTATTCTTGGCCTTGATCAAACTGCTAAGTGGAAATATTTAAAATTGAAACACAAGCACACCATAGTTGTTATTAGTGAGTAGTTTTAGATTATCGTTAACACAAACTTATTTCAACAATTGCAGTTTACCGTTTGAAATTTTAACATTAGTATTTAACTTTAATCTCACTGATTTTATTTTGCACTAAAAACCAGCTTAAGGGCATCAAAGTCAGGCTAATCACTTTTATTTGCTTCTCTTGAAGCTTCTTTTATGTTGTCCTTACTCCTTAGTGTTACTTCTGAGATGAGTTGCTAGCTTTATTCGGGTGCTAGATTCTAGGTTTTTTTTTTTTTACCTTCTTTCACTAAACAAATCCCATCTCTTATTTTTATTTTCTTATGCTTCACTCCTTGATTCATCTGTTAGATTTGTGTGGATTCCATTGTGGTGTCAAGAGCATATCTTAAAACAAAATGGCTCAATTTTCTTGTAGTTTCAGAAATTAATTATTTACGTGTTTTTTAGGGATGGGGTTGTGCTTATCGGTCCCTCCAGACTATCATTTCATGGTTCAGACTCCAAAACTACTCATCTATAGAAGTTCCTTCTCATAGGTATTTATAGTTTTTCTCTTGATGGATTTTGCTTTAATGGGAGATGTTACTTCATTTATCTTTTGAATTTGTTATCGGGTTTTAAGAATTGGTTTTATTTTGATTCTTCACACTATACAAAGGATTATTAATTTGGTTTTTTTAATATTTGTTAGTTTTTAATTTAGCCTAACAAACCTGCAAATGTCTCAGAGAAATACAGCAGTCACTTGTCGAAATTGGTGATAAAGATCCTTCTTTTATTGGGTCACGTGAGTGGATTGGTGCCATTGAGTTGAGCTTTGTTTTGGACAAACTTCTGGGTGTAAGTGTTCTGCTCATTTTAATATTTGGTGATGTTTTGATAGTTAAAGGACAACAGAATTTATAGAGAAACTGTAAATGCGATGAATCTGAAGTTTGTTTATAGATAGCCTGTAATATTATAGTTGTAATTGAGCTTTTGGCCCAACTGAAATCTATGCTGCTTGTGAGCATAATTGTGCTCTCTTAATGGTTGTTTGTTTTTTTTCCTCCTTTCTAAAACAGGTTACTTGCAAAGTCATCAATGTTAGATCTGGAGCTGAGCTTCCGGAAAAATGTCGAGAGCTAGCATTGCACTTTGAGACCCAAAGTACACCTATTATGATAGGTTAGTAGATGTTATATTATTTTAGTTTATTCTATCTGCCATTTATGAAATTTTTACCCATATAACCTAGTTTCCATATAATATTATTCAAAATACCCATCTTTCCAACAAATCTTTCAAAGTATTCAAGTTAAAAAAAAAAAGTAACACGTAAAGGGAGTCGTCAATAGGACTGACTCCCCCTTTAAAACCCAATTCCATATAATATTATTCAAAATACCCATCTTTCCAACAAATCTTTCAAAGTATTCAAGTTAAAAAAAAAAAGTAACACGTAAAGGGAGTCGTCAATAGGACTGACTCCCCCTTTAAAACCCAAAGAGGAGGCGCCAATAGGGGTGCAACACTGCAACCTCCTTTTTAATTTAGAAGGGGGCGCCAATAGCCTTTGCAGCCTCCTTTGAACGAATTTTTTAATTAATATTTAATAAATAACATATTATATAATAATGAATAAATAATTAACAATATCATTTAATAATAAATTGATTACATAGACGAAACATTGTACATTAATTAATATTTAATAAATAACATATTATATAATAATGAATAAATAATTAACAATATCATTTAATAATAAATTGATTACATAGACGAAACATTGTACATTAATTTCTATTACTAGGTTGAAATAAATGTGCGCTGGTACCGCATCCTCGAGGCCGTATGTTTCTTGGTACTCTTTGTGGTGATGTCGGGTCCACATGGGGTGTTTGATAATAAACCTTCGCCGATGTTTGTGTTGGGTCGATATCAAGAAAGTCGCGTATTTGGGCCTATGAAGATGAGTTTAGGTCATCAAAGTCATCCAAATTGAAGGGGTTGCCCATGTCTTCATAATTTTGTTGGGGTGGTTGACTTGATGAGACTATGTCAAGACGATAACCGACTTGGTTGTAAGGTGACATTGGTGTAAATGTTTGAGTGGGTAAGGTTTGATGTGGTGTTTGATACTCCTGTTAAATTGGTATGTAGCATCGTAGGAGTATGATTGGTATGGTGGTGGGTTTTGTTGGTATTGGGACTGGAAATAACTCTATTGGAATGTGGTGGATTGGTATAGATACATGAATTGGAATTGTGGTTGGTGGGGGTTGGGTTGACTGTTGGGTTGGGGCTGCGTTGGCGGTTGGGTTCGTAATGATGAGACTTGTTGGCGTGGATCAACAAAATATCTTGGATGAGAAATGAAACAAATGGTAACCGATCTATACCAATTCATGTATTCATGTATTGATAGATGATTTTCTCTCGAATGGCATCACAGCGTCATACATGACAAAATGACGGCGATGCTTCCATTCAGGACACTCAGTTTTTGCATAGTGGGTAGTTCCATTGGTCAGAGACTTTACTTGTGTGGTATTTGTTAGGGATGCATTTTGGTAGACATGGAATATCCTGTAGCATTTCAAATTGAAGCTTCACCCGATCACTGTTGTGCATTCCCACTACGGTGAAGTTGATAATCGGTACCTTTGCACTCTGCGCTCCACACCGTAGAGTGCAGAGTGTTGTTGGGTAACTTCATGCATGACTTCTAACCCAAGATATGACAGCCAAATAAATTGTAGTAGAAAAAAATTATATTTAGTATACCTTAATATTAAAGGTGACTATTTTAAATAGGTAGGTTAGTGACGGTGCATCATATTTTGACCCAAATGATCCAAAAGATTTCGGTACTGGGTGATGCTGTAACGGGGACAGTTGTCCTAATTTATCTCAAATGCATTCCACCTACAAATCGAAAAGGAAACGTTTGTTAATAATAGTATAAATTAAATAAGAGAATAATTTGTTTTCAAAGAATTAGTGCAAGAATTACCTTGTTGCGTATGGAAATCCGAAATTATTGTAGTTGATAGGCGCTAGATTGGTCATTCTTAACCAACCCTAAGCTTGAAGAATAACAACCTATCCAGTAAAAGTAGAAGAATTTGCATACACATTGTTACACAAAGATCTATAGAGGTATGATAACGTGACATACCCTCAACTATATGTTTTTATTTTATCTATATCCTCTCATAAAGGTAAATACGTAGGATATGTTTTTACCTCTTGCATCCGGACATAAAAATAAACATATTAGTAGCATGATATAAATTCTAGTTTTTTTAATTTTCAAGATATTAGTAGCATGATATAAATAACTAATATATATATAAAATAAGATATTAGTTATAAATAAACTTAATCACGTAATACTTGTTTTTAAAACTAAAAGATTATTATTTATATGAGTTATTATTTTATTAATTTATAGATTTTTCAATTTTTTAAATGAGATAAATACATTTAAGTAATATGCTTGTTATAGTACATAGCATAATTTTCTTTTTGGAAATATTTGCTTAATAACATATATAAATAAAATAAAATTGTCGAGAATCTTCAAATTATTGATGTTCAATTGATTGTATAACAAGGTAAATGACAAGGATTAACCAACTAATAAAATGATTTGTCATTAAAAAATTAATCATATAATTTTTTTTTCTAATTATTTAGAAACAAAATGGTTTATTATTTTGTGAACAAAACACAACAATTTAGCATCGCGCACATTGTTCTCTTTTTTTCGCGTTTCACGCTGAAGACCTTTGTAGTCGTCGCTGAAGATTCTTGTCGTCGTTGTTTAACTCGTCGTCGAACTCGCGCATGTTGTTGATGATATCACTGTTACAAACTAAGTTAAATCTCTAGAAAGTTTTATCGTGCAATTTCATATTCTTTTCAACCAAATCAGAGAAGGACAAAATTAATTGTTTAAAATTAAGAAAAATATCAAAACAAATACCTCACACTGGATATCTCCTTGATATCACCTCATTATACAAAATTATTTTGAAACAAATTCTCTAGCCAAAATAAATTTGAAGTTATTAAAAAAATCTTGTAACACTTGAATTTATTTATTTCTATTTGTATGAGTTATACATTATTTATAGTTAGACTTCTTGTATTCTAATTACATGCTAACGATTATTATCATACATGCTATTAATATTAGAGTTGTTACACATTTTCTACTAATAATTATTAAGTTACAATATTCATATCTAAAAAGAAACTAAATTAGAATATAAATGATATATGATTAAAATTTAAAAAAGATATATAAATTTTAAAATATCAATATGAAATTTTAATCATATATTGTTTTTCATATATAATGATATTATAGGCTTCTCCGTTTAATTCGATCAATACTTATGTCCAGTGAAAAACATGTTTCGGTAAACTATTCAAATAAAACTAAAGTATATTCTATGTAATTAAGCTTTATATATTATATTTTTTTCCTAAAAATTTATTTTGAAAAGCTTTAAGTGTCGACACGAAACACGAATGTGTCGATCCATACTGAAGGAATTTTGAAAAATACATAATATTAAGATTATGTGTCGACTCAAACATCACATGTATCGACTCATATCAGAAAAATTTGAAGTTTTTGCAGGTTTTGAGAGAAAGTTGGACTGGAGACCCATTTAGAACTATATGTTTATGCAATATGAGCAATTTTATGATGTTTATGCATTCTCAAAATGTCTCTAGTTAAAAAATTCAAAAATTATTTTATTAAATAACTTAATTTAACCGTTTGACAAATGAATAAAATTAATGAATTTTAAATCAATGGAAATTATTATTATTACTATTAAACCAATTTAATAATAAAAAATAATATTTCTAGAATAAAGCATACTTCTATTTGAATAAAGAATGATATTTTTTTTTGAAATAAAAATATTTATTAACAATTCAATAAAACTTATCCCCACTTTAGTTGAAGATAAATTAGTCAAAAAGTTATATTGGTCAAAAAGTTATCGTACAAATAATATCATTTATTTATTTTATTTGACTAGCAGATCTATAGAGCTCTTGTGATTGATTTGATTTGAACTCTTAGACTCAGAGTAGCAGCAACTGGTAGAGAAGCATGAGAAATGACAACAATTTATCGTTGCTGGTCGGAAAAGCATTTACTAGGTCTTCAGGTCCACAACCACATCGGAACTCGACAGCCACAGCCAAGGTGAGTGTTCTCTTCGTGTTTTTCTCTTTTCTGTTGATTTTTTTTTCTCCGTTCATCTCTTCTCTGATGGGTTATAATAGGTTTGATTGTGTCGGCATATCTGTTGATTTTTTTTCTCTGTTCATCTCTTCTCTGTTGGGTTATATTTCCAAACCTATTATAACCCAACAGAGAAGAGATGAACAGAGAAAAAAAATCAACAGATATGCCGACACAATCAAACCTATTATAACCCAACAGATAAGAGATGAACGGAGAAAAAAAAATCAACAGAGAAGAGAAAAACACGAAGAGAACACTCACCTTGTGGCTGTCGAGTTCCGATGTGGTTGTGCACCTGAAGACCTAGTAAATGCTTTTCCCACCAGCAACGATAAATTGTTATCATTTCCCATGCTTCTCTACCCGTTGCTGCTACTCTGAGTCTAAGAGTTCAAATCAATCACATCACAAGAGATCTGCTAGTCAAATAAAATAAATGAATGATATTATTTGTACGATAACTTTTTGACCAATATAACTTTTTGACTAATTTTATCTTCAACTAAAGTGGGGATAAGTTTTATTGAATTGTTAATAAATATTTTTATTTAAAAAAAAAATATCATCCTTTATTCAAATAGAAGTATGCTTTACTCTAGAAATATTATTTTTTATTATTAAATTGGTTTAATAATAATAATTTTTATTGATTTAAAATTCATTAATTTTATTCATTTATCAAACGGTTAAATTAAGTTATTTAATAAAATAATTTTTGAATTTTTTAACTAGAGACAATTAGAGAATGCATAAACATCATAAAAGTTCCTGATGTATATCTAAGAATTATATTATCTTCTTGACGTCTTAAAACAGCACCCCAATCGTTATTTTAAGTGATAAACCTTTGTGTACGAAGTGTAAAATTTTAAGTAGAGAGTAGGAAATATTTAAAACATGAGTTCATTAACGCAAACTTAATTTGAGGATATTCTAGATCAAGCTAATTTATTAGATCAATAACTGAATATAATTTTTTTCTACTACAGTTTATTACCCAACAACACTTTACGGTGTGGAGTGCAAAGGTACCGATTATCAACTTCACGTAGTGAAAAACTTCAATTTGAAATGCTACAGGATATTCCATGTCCACCAAGATGCACTCCCGACAAATAATACCACACAAGTAAAGTCTTCTACCAATGTGACTACCCAATATCCAAGGCATGAATTAATATAAATCGGTTATCATTGATTTCTTTTCTCATCCAAGATATTTGGTTGACCCAAGCCTCGTCACCACCAACCCATCCCTACTCACAAAACCACAACTCCAAGAACATACCTCTTACCAATCCACCCAATTCCAACCGTTATTTTCAGTCCCAATACCAACAAAACCCACCACATACTCCTACAATACTATAGACCAATTTAACACGAGGATCAAACCTTATCCACCCAAACATTTACACCAATGTAACCTTACAACTAAGTCGACTATCGTTTTGACATAGCCTCATCAAGCCAACCACCCCAACAAAGTTATGAAGACATGGACAACCCTTTCAATCTGGATGACTTTGATGACCTAAACTCATCTTCACGGGCTCAAATACGTGACTTTCTTGATAGCGACCCAACACAAACATCGGCAGTTTCCTATCAAAAAACCCCTTGTGCTCGAGGATGTCGTACTGGTAGACACTTATTTCGATCTAGTCGTAGAAATAATGTACAATGTTTCGCATATGTAATCAATTTATTATTAAATGAAATTGTTTATTATTTATTCATTATTATATAATATGTTATTTATTAAATATTAATAAAAAATTCGTTCAAAGGAGGCTGCAAGGCTATTGGCTCCCCCTCTTAAATTAAAAATGAGACTGCATCCCTATTGGCGCCCCTCTTTGGATTTTAAAGGGGGAGCTAGTTCTATTTGCGCCTCCTTTTACGCGTTAATTTTTTTTTGAAACTTAGGTATTTTGGAAAATTTGTTGGAAAGGTGGGTATTTTGAATAATATTATATGGAAACTAGGTTATATGGGAAAAATTTTTGCCATTTATTTGGCATCTTTCAATATGAGAAATTTGACTGTATATATTGATGACATTTTGGATCTTAAATGCAGGTGGTGGTGTACTTGCATACACACTATTGGGAGTGGATTACAATGATGCAAGTGGAGATTGCGCATTTTTAATTCTTGATCCACACTATACAGGTACAGATGACCTGAAGAAAGTAGTCAACGGGGGATGGTGTGGGTGGAAAAAAGCTGTTGATAACAAGGGAAAGAATTTCTTCTTGCACGATAAGTTTTATAATCTACTGCTGCCACAGAGGCCTAACATGGTTTGATAGACTGGGATTCATCGGATAGAACTAATTCCCAATTTTGAGACCCAATTTCTTGTCATGGAAGTTTTTTTTAGTTACATGTGATTGGGAAATGATGGTTGTTCATTCGTTGGGTTGCTTTTGGGTTAGTGATGTTTTGTTATTGACTTGTTGTGACTAAAACTAAAATTATCGGCCATACTATACCTTGACCTGAATGTTCTGTCTAGTCACTTGGTCAAAACCCCGGCAAAGGGTATTTTGAACATGGGCAAGATAGGATAAAATGGATATGTTTCCTGACATTTGAGATGTCAGTTTCTCAGGATCAATGAAGCTTATAAATCCATACACTTGTGGCTATTTTGTCTCTATTTTTTTCTTCTGAAAAGGCAGTTTTTATATGGGATTACTTTTTCCATCTTCGTAGGTGTTCATCCACCATTGACCATAGAATCTGAAGATGTATCTTCAGACGCATTTTTTTTACACAATCCTCAGCGCAAATTGATGACAATAAAATCCGTACTTGCGGATAAAATTCGTCCCAGATATGGGTAGGGTAGTTTAATAAATATATACGGATAAAATAAATGAGTATTTAAATACTTGTTTGTTAATAGATATGAATACAGGTTTAATGATATCTTTGTCCGCGGATATCTATATCCGTTAATAAATTATAAAAATTATTTAAATATTATTAGTTTATTATACCTTATCTTTTCATTTTCTAAAAAAATTTAGTCTTCTTATATTTTTTTCTTTTTTCTTTGTGAAATTTTCTTTGAAGAAAATCTTTCACATTTCATTCAAATTCTATTAGGCATTTCATGTTTAAACTCTTCAATACTTTTGGTTAAAATGAAGTGTATGGATATTATGTTTGGATCTAATTATGTTTTCGTGAATAATAAGAAAATTAATGTGATGAAATTTTATTGTTAAATTAAGAACGAATTGTATGAATGTTATGTGATAATAACTTTTTGTGTCTTTAAAAGAAGTTTAAACAAATTTCAAAACAAAATTTTATATTAAAAAAATATTATTCATAGATATTTGTAAATATCTACGAATGTTGTAAAACTCGCAGATTATCCGCTTAACGGATATCTACAATATGAGACAGATATAAATATCATATTTATCCAACGAGGCAGATATGAATATCGTAGTATTCGTCTTCATGAATATTTATTTACATCTCTTTCTTTGAATCAGCTCCAAAGATACTTATGGAAAACCTTTAATTAAATATTCAGTTCAAATTGCATTATAACTAGTTTTTGGTGGAAATTATATCTTGTTTGCATTACCATTGTTTTAGCTCTCATTAGCTCTCTTATGTCGGGTCGTCATTTAATTTGATTAAATCAACCGGTGGTGTCATTATAAAACTTATAATTTGATTAAATCAACCAGTGGTGTCATTATAAAACTTACTTATAAGAGGTGAGCTGAAGAGCCTTTGAAACTATGGAGAATTTACCTTATCATCTTCATATTTTTAAATTTTTAAAAATGTCCTTACTATTATTAACCAACCAAATTTTATTTTTCTTTCAAAATTTTAACTCTTACTAACATACCAAAAACGAAACTTTTGATATGCATTTATGAAAATTCTGACATTTATACTGAAAATTTAAAATTTTATGGTAAAAAATACCAAAATTTTCAAAATTATTGGTAAATAATACTAGAAATTACAAAAATTTTAGTAAAGAATATCTGAAACTTTAAAATTTCAGGTAAAAAATATCGGAAAGTTTAAAATTTCTGATAAAAAATATTGTAAAATTCAAAATTTTCAAAATTTTTAAATAAATACAAATTATTAGTTTCTGATATGGACTCAAAATTTTCGGTTAAATATTGTAAATTTCAAAATTTTCAGAAATTTTTCACTGAGTATAAAGATAAATTTGCTCAAAATAGGGGGTGCCAGGTTTAAGTGAGTGTGTTCAGTTAAATGCTCGAAATTATGGCATAAACTTGTCCTTGTCCATGAGCCCTTGTATTCAAAAGTTTAAGTTGTTAACTATATATAGTACATTAGTTCAGATTTGAAGAGATTGAAATTATTGCAACTCAATGTCTAGAAGAAAATAAGTATTTAGAATAAAACACTCCATCAAAATAAATACATTTGTTATAGAGATGCATCTTCATATACATTCAAATAATATATAGAGATGAATTTTCAAAAGAGATTTTGGGAAAATGGAATGACTAACTAAAATACGAGAAACGATATGATTTTAGATGCATTCGGATATGCATTTTTGGATATAACAAGGACATTTTTGAGTTTTTAGTGGTGTATGCCGCACACATCAAGAGCATTTCCCTTAAACAAAGGAGTTCATTAATACTACTCTTGCTAACACATGATGGATTCTTCAAAGCACCACAATTACTAACTTAACATGCATTCCACCTCGCCTAATAAAGAACATAAGTTGAGGGTGTTGTGATTCGTTCTCTTAGGTTATGTTTTGGATGTCTTAAAATTAATGGAGCGTAGTGGAGTAGAATGGAGTGGAGCGAAACGAAGATACCATTCCATTGTTTGAAATTTTTAAAATGCAACAAAGTTGTTCATAACATCCAAATCAGAGGGGAATGCATATGGTAGTAAGTGGTGGAATGAAATGAAATACATACAACTTCATTCCGCTCCCCTCAATTCAATTTTAAATGATCCAAACAATGAAATATCATTATATTTCATCCCATTCCGCTCTGTTTTGTCAGATTTCATCAATCCAAACAAAACTTTATTGGTGAATAATCAACATTATGAATCTACAAATGTCTTTAGTGTAGTTTGGATTTAAAGTTTCAGACGCCTCCATACACACCAAAATACTTCGTAAGTTAGCTACCCCTATTTTGTCAAAAAAATAGTACGGAAGTCAATCTCCGTATTGATGGAAGGGTGAATAAGTAGGTTAAATTTTGGACTAACTCCTGAATACATTTTGAATTCATGATAGTGTGTTTATTTCACAACTTAGTGGATAATCCAAAAAGTAAGTTTCGTACTAACCCCAAGGACAATAAATTTCACTCTTGGGTAATAAGTTTGTCATCAATTTGACATATTTTAATAAATCTTGTATTTTAAGTTATTTATACAAAGTATACATAATTGTTATTAAATTAAATCACGCTAATGTAATTCAATAATTACCATATATTAAGTGAAAATGCAAATTATGTATTTTTCATGAAATACAAACTATAATATAAATTATCACAATACAATGAAAAAGTTAACTACTAGGTATATCTGACCCCCGGTTCCTTCTATGTCTCCTTTACTGCAAGACATATTGTGCCTAGACTATCATGGCCTTTACAATAACTCTTTTAGAAGTGCTTTCCTCAAACTCTCTTATCTTGATGCCCACTCTCCCAATAGTCACAATACACTATTAGATCGATAACACACCAATGACGTGATCTACTCTAATATGAATGATCATAAATCAGTGTTGGTTGGTCTGATATCTTCTCACTCCTAAGCACAAGATACATTTGATCTAACACAAATTAATGTTTGTTTATATATATATATATTGAAATTCCCGTCTCGAGACCATTTTGGAAAGCCCCTACAAAAATCTCTTGGTTTGGCGGGACGACCCTTATTGTAGCTTCATTAAAGTGGTTGAAGTAGTCTCTTAACGAATTTGAGGGGCCCTATCTTATGTTAAACACACTTATGGTGGACACCTTTCTATGTCTGCTGGCGACGAACTGGTGAACGAGTTTCTTCACCAGTTCCTGGTAGTTAGCGATAGATGCTCAAGGCAAACTCATATACCATCACATGGCTACATCCCTGAAGGTGCCAGATATCAATTTGTACCTTAGTGAGTCAAGCACTTTTATGATGGCCATCTGGGTATTGATGAGGGTGACGTGTTCATAGGGATCACTATACCCATCAAGCTTCACAGAGAGGGAGTCTTAAACCCTTCAAGGACAAGTGCCTCCCATATTTCGTCTAAAAGCGGTTGAGAGTCAACAAACTCCATCTCTTTTGGGAGATTGCTCTCTTGTTGACGCTGTTAAGTGTTAAAGACGTTGTCCTCCAGGTTCTGATTCTGAAGGAAAAGTTCATCCATGGCGGCATGCATTTTTGCCAGGGTATTGAAATCATTGTTATCACTAGTGTCTTCTGGCACTAGGATGAAGCTCTCCTGTTGACCATGGTTGGGAATGGTTGGGTATAGAAATGGGTGGTGAAAGTGAGTGTCTTGATTGTAATGGAAGATGTGGCCCAGTTTAGTTTTATTAGGGCCCTATGTTGAGCGTCAATGTACTTATAAAAAAGTACAGGAGTGTGTGATATCCCTACGCGGGTAGGGGATACTCATAGGCCTTTGTAGTTAAGGTGGTTAGGGTTTGCTCACGGTGGTGAGAGACCCTATCTAGTGACATTCATGGTGGCAAGAGAGGGCTAACTCACGTGAGGTGAAAAACTCTATGTGTTTAGCGTTATACGATGGGTATAATAATTTTTACCCTCTCCAGCTATGGGAGAAGTATTTATAGGGGTTCATTGGCCTAGGGTTTTCTACGGAGCTGGTAATTATCCACTGTGTCATTGCTAAATCGGTGAATCCCTATTTCATAAGGAAATATGTATCAATCTATTGACCCTGACTTCCCTCTATTATGTGGATGAGTTTTATTAGATATTCTATGATGTGTTTCATTCAATTTGAATGTTAGAAATAAATGTAATTGTATTGAATTGTGTTACGTTTTTATAACTGAAAAAAGTTATCAAATAATTTTTTTTAAATTTGAAACATAACCCACAAACCCAATCCAACTCAACGCATAAATGAACAAGTCGGTTTGAATTAGTCTCGGTCGTGAAATTGCGGGTTGGACGATCAACTTAACCCATTGAAGTTTGAATGGATTGAGTAACAGGTTAGGCTAAATCTGGTCCAACCCAACCTATGTACACCCATATACCACGTGGGCAAGGTAAGTAG